AGAGGTTTATTATAAATCTCATCTTTGTTAACTTACCCATCTCCTTACCAATTTTTCATTATGAGTCAATCTCGGATGGTTCTTCAATTTTTTCCTCCAATCCTTAGTCTAATTTTGTTTTAGGCTGTGACGTCAAAAACGGTTGCAACCATATTATGGTCAACAAAACATCTAGGGATTACCGCGAATTCCAATGGAAGAATAAATATCACCACTCTTGGTTTTGAAATTTTATCATTTTATCAAATCTTTACGTCTGTTATGCAGGAAGTAATGACCTTATCAAGGTTGAGATCTACTTGTATTTTTTTCTACATCGATCACTCCTTGATGGTGCAAAAGACTCACCTTTGTAGTTTATGGTCGTCTTTTATCTACACTTGTGTTTTTCACATTCATGTTTCTTTCTACATTTGAACAAATGTTATTTTTTTTCTCTTAGTGTTTGAAGTTTCTTGGATTCGATACAAAGTCTCACTGGAAGCTGACTACAATTTCACAGGCAAAGACTCTAATAATTTGCAACTCTATCCAATCAATGGTATCCAAACCCTCAGCCACCAACATGGAGATTTCTTCCATCGTTATGATTCTGGACGGGGGACCCCAACTTGGCAATGCTTTTCAACCGGCAGTCCTTTTTTTTTTCCACCTTTATCAGACTATCAACCCCAATGGTCGGAATGATCTCTCTCCTCTTTCGAAGAAAGTCCAAAGTGAAAACAATTGTGGTTGTTTAACATCCTCAGGCCTTAAGAAAAAAATGATCGATCAAGCCGATTAAACTAACCATCCAAACTGACGTCTCGTATCATGAAATTGGAGCGATCGTCTATCTTAATCAAGAAAGAGAGAAGAGAAATTAAGCATCTCTATTCCAGACGAATGGTTGGAATCATCAAGCACACATAGAGTACAAATCAGAGTGTTGTACACCCTTTCTTTTGTGCGAGTTCTTTTTTTTCTTCCTTTCTTCCAAGGATGTTGCAGTCAAAGTTGTCGGAGACAACGCAGGGGTAGTTACATTGCTCAAAAATAGGAATTCGCCTTGAGTTAGCATAAACTCTCTCCTCCGAAAAATCACGACTACCCTTTAAGAAACCCAAGGGCAAATCAAATTCATTGGGTACCCCACTCTCTGAACTCAAGAATGAAATCACTCTCAAAGCAGAAGGACCCCACAAATTGGGGCATTGCCTCTTATCTGGTGTCCCAAAAATTTTGAAGATTTGGAGTGTCATTGGTTGACTTATGTGCATCGCAAACTTATCATGTAAGAATAGATGCCTCTCTAAGTGTTTCTCATTGCTTCGTCTCTGAAATTTGGTATTACAGTAATGATTGTAATGATGTAGATGCCTTATCCTTGAATTGGCAGAATTTGCAAGGGGGATCGTATCTTTGGTTCTTCCTACCTGCTTTCTTTCTTTGCCAGGTGGTAAGAAGAATGAAGACATCTGTAGGACAATACCTACTCATTGCCCCCATGGCTCCAAAAGCAGTCTGGTCCCCTGTGGTCGCTGCTATGAGTTGCTCAGGAACTATGAAAATTCTCAATATTCCTTCTTCTTGCACGCCCAACTCTAGAGTGTCCAAGGGTACTCTTAACCCCGTAACCTTCAAGCTATTGGTTGGAAGGATCTCGTTGTCATCGAGTTTCCGGAGAGTGACAACCATAGTCATATCGGATGAAGGAAGAGAAACTTTTCCAGGACCCTTGGGTCAACATTCGCTCTAAGGTCCACCCTTGATGGATGCCCTCACGGACACTGCGAATCTGAAACTATAGCAACTGCTCAATCTCTCTAAGCTGACGTATTTGAACCAGGTTCTCGGTCGTCTCTTAAAGGCATTCAAGTTTCAAGTTTGTGGAAACCGTCAACTATGAAAGATGAAGTCAGTTGAAAGAACTTCACCAAGTGAATTGTAACTTTCACATATATTTTGGTATAATTCCAACAAGCAATCCCCTTCGCCAGAAGGTTTCTCAAGGTTTATCACCACAAAATTTGCCCTCCGCTGAATTTTTGTATAGCGAGGTTAGACTTACTCGAGTAACTGTGTCAATATCACTGGTCTCTAGACGGAGACCTTCACCACTTCGCTTCCAACACTCCTAGAGATAAATCATTATGCAGAGGTCTCGAAGGGATTCAAGTTCATTCAATATATTCTCAGCCTTCCTGCATCTTCATGAAGGAGCAGATTCAGTCTCGCAGTTGGACCATTTTTCCTTAGTCATGAGCAAAGTCTGTTGCTCGTTTCCTTCTCTACCTAGAAGTTCAAAGCATCGATTGAGGCTACCAAAATTTTCCGCTAATATGTTGACTCATACAAATTTATGTCTATTTCAATCTTTATTGTGTGATCGACTCTGTAGATCGTGCATTGACTTGAATTTCACAATAAATTACCTCTCTCTTTATTAATGATGCTGCAGACACCATGATTGACTATCAACTCAACATTTTTTTGAAGACCATCATCTTCATAAGAACCACTTGGAAGAAGACTAGCTTGAGGAGCCTACGTACACTCTGTCTAAAAAATAGATCCAAGCACCACAACCTACAATCATTTGACTTCATTACTATTCAAATTTCATTCCCATTTCATTTCAGCCATATGACACATGAACAGGGGTGAACGTTGGTTTGGTTAGGAGTTGTCAGGCCCCTAGGGGAAGGGCAATTGTTCAGTGGAGATCTTAGAGTCGACATTAATTTACCATAATGTTCTTTGTTGACTTTTGGATTGCGACCATCCTTGGACTTAAGGTCATCAGGACCTCCGAACGTCGCATTTTCGACAACATTCAAATCTTATTCCTAATCTCTCCTCGCAAGAGGATTAAAATGTAGAAATTTGGAAACATCATACTCACGATGAAAACTGACATGTTCCACTTGGAATTTATAGGCAAATGGTGAAAAATGAGAGACCATTCATGCATGGCGAAAACCAAGGTGCCAAAATCTCAATCATTGCGGATCAAGGAGTGCACACATTCCCACATGGTATCGTTCGGCCGAAGCCAAATGACCAAACCAAAATTCTTAAACGTTCAGGCCCCCATGTAGACGAGTTCGACAATTCGGGTTAAACGCGACGAAATAAATTAAAAAATACAATACGTTATGCTGAATATAAACTAAGTAAACTATGTCTTAGTCTGTGTAGAATCGTGTTCGGGTTCGGTCACCGAACCCGTACGTTTGTGACCAAACGAGAATTAGCACCAACACCCTCCGAACGGGAACATAAAAAAAAAAAAATCAATCTAAAAAAAATCTAAAAAAAAATAAGCGTTATGAAAAACAATAATATAGACAACTTTTGTCAGGGAGGGATGCTCAAATTCGTAACCAGACTCGAGTTAAAAATTAAAAAACAATTTTTTTGTTTTTTTAATATGTTTGGTCGAACACGTTCGGCAGGCGTTCGGCCGAACACCCGAACACATTCGGACGTTCGAAAAATCTCCGAATATGTTCGGTGTGCTACACAGGTCTTCGCGTTACATCAAAAATTTCTACCAAACTTATACCTTTCTCGACCTTTTTGCTAAGATGAAGTGAAGTATCTGTTATGATTAGTTTAATATCTTATCCGTGGTCCATCAGACCACACTAAAAAAAAAAAAAAAAAAAAATCAAGTTAAAAAAAATATTAATCAAATTTGAAATAAAAATAATAATAAAAAATTATAATTAAAATCAGGGTCACCAGCCCATACGTACGGAGTTCCCCGGGCAGACCTTACGTACGGGCGTTCAGGGTCTCGTACCGGGTCCGAACCCGACGGCATTCGGCCCCCGCCAGAAATTATTTCGGGGCCTAAAAATAATTATTTTTTTCTGAATTTGTTTTTCCGAGTTCTACATGACGTGAGGTACATGTCTGTAAATTTTCAAGTCATTTTGCTGAGCGAAATAAGAATGAAAAATCGCCAAATATGGCGGTGTCAAAACGTGCTTGCCCACGTATTTTTTGAATTTGTTTTACTTTTTACTCTTTGTTTCCACTTTAGTTCGGGGTCTAAACAATTTTATTATTTTTTGAAACTTTTAAAATGGGTTTTGTATTATGTGAAGTACACATCTGTAAATTTTCAGGGCATTTAACTATGCCAAAAAAAATTAAAAATCGCCAAAGATGGCAGTGTTAAAAACATGCTCGCACACTCACTAAATTTAATTCTCTTTTTATTTTTATTTATTTTTATTATTAGTATTTATTTTCCGTATTTTATTTTTATTTCAAATTTGGTAAGGAATTCAGATGTAATGGTCTGGAAAATATTGTTTAATTTATTTTTTTCCATAACATATATTTTTTAAGTTTTGTTAGATGACCTTTTTTTTTTTTTTTTCCCTTTCTTGTTCTTCTTGTTTTTCTTCTTCTTCTTCTTGTTCTTCATCTTCTTTCTTTCTTTCTTTTTATCTTTCTTCCTTTCTTCCTTTCTTTCTTTTTTTTTTTTTTTTTTTTTTTTTTTTTGTCCGCGTTCAGCTCAAACGGCCGAACGCATCCCCAAAGGGTCCCATACGTTCGGGCGTTCGGGTTCGGGAGTTCGGCCCGTCCCGAACACCGGTCACCCTGATTAAAATGATAAAAAAATTAAAATCATTGAATGGGTAGACACGTTTTTTACACCGCCGTCTTCGGCCTTTTTTTTTTTTGGCTTGGTAAAATGCCCTGAAATTTTATAGATCTGTATTTTATCTAATCCTAAACTCGTAAATTATTATTATTTTTAATAATTAAACACACAATTGTTTAGGCCCCCGAAATAAAGTGGCAAAAAAACTGAGAGGAAAAAAAAAACAAATTAGTGAGTGAACGAACACTGTTTAATTTTGGTGACTTTTTATTTTTTTTGGGCTCAATAAAATACCTTCAAAATTCAAATGTATATACCTCATACCTAGGAAGATTTTCATGACCGGCTGGTTTGGACCGACCGGTCACTTGGCATGATGCCCTTGGGGGTCTGACGCTGG